CCTCCAAGGTCGAAGATTTCAGGGTTTTAGGGTTTAGGGTTTCTGCACGACCAGAATACCCGTAATACTCCCGTAATCATGGCCCATAGACCCCGAAAGAGCAGTTCCTCGGAGGTTCATAGCGATGACTCGTATCAGTACCACAAGTACACACACCCCTGAACCTTAAGACCCCTGACACCCCACGGGCAAACCGAGGTGCTCAAGACGTGTTTAAGGTTTAAGGTTATGTGCCAGTTCTGAAAATTCGGGAGTTAGGTACCAGATATCCCTCTACATTCCTCCCTTGGAAGATGATAGAGGGTACCTCACGTCCTGCCATAAAAGTAGCGTAAGAAGAGCGTTTGACAAAATAGAGGTACCCCCCCCCAAAAAAAAAACACACACACACACACACAGACACACACACACACACACACACACGCTCTTGGCCTTCTGAAGAGTTCAAGTTATCTGGGGTTTGAGGGCTGCAGGCTAGGTCCAGGGTTTTAGGCTTTAGGGGTGTAGGGTGCAGGCTTAAACTTTAAAGTTCGCCAGCATAGCCAGGAGTGCAAGCAGCGAGTCGTTCCGCTTGGAAGAATGCTTAGCACGTAGGGTTCAACTGTACTTGTAACGCTCCTAAGTCCTCTGAGCAGGTTTCCGCCGACCCCCTTTGTCGGCGTCAAGAAGCTGGACTCGTACTTTTCTCCCTGGACCCGCAGTTACCTCTCCCCACGGCACTGCGCGGCCTGCCCCTTCCCTGCACTCGGTACCCATTTTTCTTGCGCGTTTTTTGTTGGCACCTTTCCCCCCCCCCCCCCCCCCCCCCCCCCCCCCCTTCTGACCAGGAGAAAGACTGAATTGCTTCCTACCCCCACCCTCTGCCCCCCCTACCCCCCCTACCCCCCCCTGCCCCCCCCGCCCCTACCCCCCACCCCCCCCCCCTACCCCCGCCCCCCTACCCCCCCTGCCTAGCCAACCAAGTTTGTAGTTTTGGAAGCACACGTTTTGTGTTGGCCACCCCCCCCCTTCCCCCCCCATGCCCTCCCCTTCCCCCCCTCCCCCCCTTCCCCCCCGCCCCTACCGGCCCCCCCTATCCCCCGCACCTCAAGCAAAGCCTGCACCCCCCCTACGCCCCCCCCCCCCCTGCCTCCCCCCGCACACGTTTGCGTTGGCTGCACCCTAAACCCCCCCCCCCCTTCCCCCCCCCTACCCCCCCTACCCCCTCCTGACCTGCCGCCCCCCCCAAGAAAAGGGCCGAATAACCGTTGTTTTCTTGGCCCCCCCTTCCCCCCCCCTCCCCTCCCCCCCCTACCCCCGCCCCCCTACCCCCCCTGCCCAGCCGCCCCCCCACAAGAAAAGTAACCAAGTTCGCCGTTTTGGAAGGTGGTCAAGTGGGTGGAACCACGCATTTGAGGTAGGGAGTGTTACAGGCAGGGTTGTACGGCTGTTGGGGGGTTGTGGGGCTTTGGGGTTTTCGTTTGGAGCTTTAGGGTTCACAATCCTTTGTTGTTGGGGTTGGGGTTGGGTGGGGCGGGCTCGATTCGTGTATCCAGATGTAGGTGGACAACCCTGCTAAACTGAAGGGCTTGGGGCTACAGCTCGCGCCCCAGGACTTGAGAAGCCTCACATCATCGTGTATAATATCTGTTTGTGCGCCGCCTACCCCCCCCCCCCTACTCCCCCCCCCCTACCCCCGCCCCCCTACCCCCCTGCCTAGCCGCCCAACCAAAAACAACCGAATTAACACCACGCGTTTTGTGTTCCCTACCCCTTAAACAAACCGCCCCCCCACAGGAGAAGGACCAAAAACAGCCGAATTTGTTGTTTTGGAAGGCGACAGATGTTGGCTACTTTCCATGCATGGGAGCCACTCAAGAGCAGGCTTGTGTGTTTTTTGGGTGATCATCCGGAAGATGCCCGGCGGTGCCCGGACGTCCTTATCTTGGGGGTCGGCGGCAGCGGCGTCAGCCTTTAAATCGGGCAGCGCGAGGTCCCCAAAGGACCGAGCAAATGCGGACCTTTTAGCCCGGGTCGTCCCGGGAATAGCCTTGCTGGCCTCTGGCCTTCTGCGAAGCAGAATTAGGCCGGACGCCAGTGCCGCCGACCCCCGCGTGCCGCCGGTGAACGGTTTTTTTTTCGTGGTTTTTTGCGTCGCCACGGAGGCCCCCAGAGGGCGCGCATCATGAGCATCAGCGGGTCCAGCCCGGGACCCCCAGGCGCGCATCAGGAGCATCAGCGGCTCCCGGGGCGGGACCCCGGGGGCGCATCAGGAGCATGATGCCCCCCAAAGGGCGGGCATAAGCGACGTGTCTAAGCCCGGGGCTAGGAAAAAGGGAGTTTAGGGGCCTTATAAAGTGCTTAGAAACGTTAAGGGAGTCTAGGAGCCTCAAACGCTTAGAGATTTGAAGGGAGTTTAGGGGCCTGAAAATGCTTAGAAACTTAACGCTTAGAGATTTTAAGGGAGTTTAGGGGCCTCAACATGCTTAGAAACTGCTCGCCCCGGGCTTCTGCGTGCGCTGCCCGCCCATGGGCGCAGCCCCTTAAAATAAGTAGATTTTCATTAAGCTTATACAAGTACCCATGAACCTCCAAGTAAGGTTCAGGGTGCTTGGGGAAAGCGCTTAGAGTTTAGGGGCCCGGGCTTAGCGAAGCTGATCTCGAACCCTTGATTCAATGAACAGCAAGAAGTCCCAGTCCCTAAACCCTATAGCTAAATCCTAAACCCTAAACCCTAAACCCTGAACCCTCACTCTTTTGTCTTGCGTGCTGTGATGTCGAGTAGGTTCTCCGGAGAAGGCTTCTATACGGGGGTTGAGGGTTTAGGGTTTAGGGCTTACTACGGTTATACAGGCCCACCTGAAATGGGCCAGTGCAGCCCCGGGACTGCAAGCCGCTTAAACAGGGTTTAGGGTTTAGGGTTCAGGGTTTAGGGTTTCGGGTTTCGGGTTAGGGGTTAGGGTTTAGGGTTTAGGGTTTAGGCTTCAGGGTTTAGGGTTTAGGGGGTTTCTGGGTTTAAGGTTTCAGGGTATGTGTGATGTTCAAGATGCGGGTGGCGGATCACACGCCCGCGAGAACTAGCCTCCAAAGAGGATGTTTTTGAGACTTTAGAACACACTGAACCCCCTAAACCAGAAAACGCTGTAGACCTCAATACCCTAAACCTTAAACCCTAAACCCTAAAACTGAAACCCTAAACCCTAAACCCCGAACCCTAACTCTTACAGATCACCTGGCGCCAAGGCGGAATCTCCCGGCCGTGCGAGCGTGCAACCCTCATCCGAGCTTCCTCTAGGGTACCAGATCTTCCAAAATCCCTTAATTAAGGAGTATACCCTAATTTATAATAAGGATCCTTATTATGAATTGGGGTATATTCCTTAGTTAAGGGGTTTTGAAGGACGTACCAGGATGGATATTAGGCCCTATAACCCCCATAATCAACCCTATAAAGAGCCTTTTTAAGGGAGGCTTATAGGGTATAATCGCCCGTCCTGGTAGTTACAGGGCCAGGGGTACGGCTGATTTTGGAAACCTTGTGTGCCCCATACACAGGGGCATATACTTCAGAATCCTTTTGTGAAAAAAGGTAAGGGGCCAGAGTAAAGGACCATGCAACTACCCTAGATCAAACCACCCGATGGGCGATGACTTGGGAAATGACCATATGCACCCCTGACTCAGTACTAGCTACAGGGGATGCAGTATCAATCTATACCCTCACCCTAACAAACACTAGAGCCCAGTTTAGAATCTTTTGCTGCACGGGGAGGCTCAGTCTCGCTGGTTTACGCTTTACTTGGAGGTTCATGATACTTACTAACCGATTGCAGCTGTAACCCACTTCTTCTAAGCCCCTTAAGTGCCCAAATGTCGTTATAAGTACAGTTATAAGTACAGCTATCCTAAACCCTAAACCCTAGACCCTATAAGTACAGTTATAATTGGTTAATAAGTACCATGAACCTCCAAAAAGATGTCAGCCCGTGTTCCGCGCGTAGCCTCCATGCTGAGCATTTTCGAGCCGTGCATGGACAGCACCTTCGTGGCGGAGTTTATAAGCCCCCCCCCCCCCCCAAGAAAAACAACGTACACTTTCAGCTCTATAGGGGATTTAGGGTTTAGGGGTTTAGGGTTTAGGGCGAGTATCCCGAAAAGTGTGCAGTTCAGCTACTAACCCCAAACCCTAAACCCTAAACCCTATAAGGCACTGCTGTCACCACCCCAGAGAGGATCGCCCCAGGATACCACGGAGCCATCGCCCAGGATGGCAGCAAACGCGCCTTCAGAAGCCTGGATCTGGTTTAGGGTTTAGGGTTTAGGGTTTAGGGTTTAGGGTTTAGGGTTTAGGGTTTAGGGTTTAGGGTTTAGGGTTTAGGGTTTAGGGTTTAGGGTTTAGGGTTTAGGGTTTAGGGTTTAGGGTTTAGGGCTCCCAGGTTCTGCAAGCCTGGATCTGCTGCACGTTCTGCAGCCGTGCCTCTACAGCACTGCTGTCTCCTCCCATGTCCTTGGCTGCACTTAGGAGGGTAGTAACAAAACAAACTTTTAGCTGCCTTACTCAGAAACCCAATAAACCCAAAAAGGCTAAGGATCTAAAGTTACAGTAAAGCACCCCGAAGCTAGGTTCCCCACTCACCTGGACAGAAAAGGCTGTTTTTTCTTACCTTTTTTTGGTTAGGTTTTCAATAAAAGGCTGTTTTTTCTTACCTTTTTTTGGTTAGGTTTTCAATATTTTTATATGTGTTTTTAGGGTTTAGGGTTTAGGGTTTTTCGTATGGTTTTTGAGGGGAACCCAAGGCTACCACGCCAAGGGAACAAGGGTTACCAGGCTGTTTTTTTGTTTTTCCTCACCCTTTCTGTTGTGTTTTCAATATTTTGTTTCTACTCTCAATAAAAAATCGAGTCTATGATAGAACCCAACGCGACCACAACAAGGGAACCCTAAAACCTAAACCCTAAACCCTAAACCCTAAACCCTAAACCCTAAACCCTAAACCCTAAACCCTAAACCCTAAACCCTACTAAGGGTTACTACTGCTGGGCACCCGGGTGTCGGGATCTCCCCAGGTTACCACAGATCCGCTGGAGAGGATGGCGGCGAAGGCAGTGCTGGTAGCCTGGAGGTGCTGCACTTCGCGAAGCTGCTCTTGAACCTACTCAGGGTAGTGTAGGGGTTTAGGGTTTAGGGTTTAGGGTTTAGGGTTTAGGGTTTAGGGTTTAGGGTTTAGGGTTTAGGGTTTAGGGTTTAGGGTTTAGGGTTTAGGGTTTAGGGTTTAGGGTTTAGGGACTATAAGCATCCCCTCGGAACTTCGCTGCTGTCAGCTCCCGCACTCTGGAGACCCCAGGTCACCACGGATCCATCGGCGAGGATGGCCGCGAAAGCCTCCCATGTAGCCTGGAGCATGGGCTTAGGGTTTAGGGTTTAGGGCTTAGGGCTTAGGGTTTAGGGTTTAGATCTATTTCCCCAGAGTAAGATACCCATTCTAGTACAGAAGGGCCCCCTACAGGTGCTTTTTGAGCTCTCGTAGCCTGGATCTGCTGCACATTCTTCAGCTGCTCTTGAACAGCACTGCTGTCGCCACCCCGACGGGGATCTCCCCAGGTGACCACAGATCCGTCTTCCTTGGTAGCCCAGCAACCACATCATTATTAGCGTACCCTGTTGGGGGGTTGGTTTCTTTAATCTTAGAAGGGAACCTTGAAACCTAAACCCTAAACCCTAAACCCTAAACCCTCAAAGAAAGGAAAAGGGCGCCACTTTTAAGGCTACCGAAGCTACCAGGATGGCCGCAAACGCCGCGCTGGAACTTTGAATCTGCTTCACCTGCTGGAGTTGTGCCTGGACGCCACTGCCTCGGGTTTAGGGTTTAGGGTTTAGGGTTTAGGGTTTAGGGTTGAGGGTTGAGGGTTGAGGGTTGAGGGACCGCTGCCTCGCGGGTTCTTGATCCCGTGCCTTAAGGGGTTCTATACGGGCAATGGCCTCCTAGGTTGCTGGGTTCATAAAGCCGCCCAAAAATGTACACTTTCAGCTTTCTAGGGGGTTATAGGGTTTAGGGTTTAGGGTTTAGGGTTAGGAGCCAGCCAGTTGAAGTAGGGTCGGAGGTACCTTCGATATATCCCCCCTCTACATAGAAGGCCCTGAAGGAGCCATAGGGGGTACCTAACTCCCCCCAAAACCCTAAACCCTAAACCCTAAACCCTACATACCTTTACTAAGAGCCGAGTAAGTTGCTGTCACCACCGCCACTCGGCCCACCCCAGGTGACGACGGAGCCGTTCTCCAGGATGGCGGCGAACGCAGAGTCAGCAGCCTGGATCCCTGAGTTGCCCAAAACCCGAAATCCTAAACCCTAAACCCTAAACCCTAAACCCTAAACCCTAAACCCTAAACCCTACACCTAACCTTGCGGTTTAGGCTTTAGGGTTTAGGACTATATACATTTATAATGTATGTATATATGGGTTATAACACCTCCAAAACGGTGCAAAAGGGAACTACTCTACTACGAAGATTCGCTTCACATTCTGCAGCTGCCCCTGGACGGCACTGCTGTCGCCACCGTGACGTGGATCCCCCCAGGTCACCACAAATCCGTCGGCCAGAATGGCTGCAAAGGCATAGTCCGTCGCCTGGATCTCCCGTACTTGCTGCAGCTGCTCCTGCACTCTGCTACTGTCGCCGCCCTGAGTGGGAAGGCCCCATGTCACCACGGATCCATCGGCCAGGATGGCAGCGAAAGCGGTTCGCGTGACCTGGATCTGCTGTACCTTCTGCAGGCGTGGCTGGACATCTCTGCTGTCGCCGCCCCGAAAGGAATCCCCCCAGGTCACCACACTTCCATCGGCCAGGATGGCAGCAAACGCGCAGTTTTTGGCCTGGACGTGCTGCACGGTCTGCAGCTGTGCCTGTACAGCACTGCTGTCACCACCCCGAAGCGGATCACCCCAGGTGACCACACATCTGTTGGCCAGGATGGCGGCAGATGCTGCGTAGGCGGCCTGAATCTCTTGCACGTTCTTCAGCTGTGCAGGAGGAGCAGTGTAATGACGCTGGTTGGCACCCCAGGCTGATACGGAGCCATCGCCCAGGAGGGCTGTGAAGGAGCCGCTGCATGCGGCGACCCGTGACTGTCGCACTTGCAGTGTCAGCACATCTTCCGCCTGAACGCCTGCCTGGGCAAGGGTGTGCTCCAAGCTCAAGAACTCCCCACGTGCGTTTACGAAGACCCCGGCCCCGGTCTGCAGGCTGCTTTGTGCCTCCAGCATGAGGTCCGCGAGAGTTGTGTCAGAGCTTGCTGTAATCGATGCTCGCCGTCCGCTCAGCAAGGCCACGTGCACTTGCACTGGCGCCATGTCGGAACCCTCCGACCTGGATCCCACACCCCCCATACCCCCCAACAACTCGGAATAAGTCAAAATACGGCAAAGCTCCGCTCTTTCTGCCTTATCCGAAGCAGTCATAGTGGCAACCACAACAACAACAAAGACAAAACAGCAACAACAATTGCAAGAACAGGAAGAGTAGTAGTACTGCCTGTGTTGTTGTGTTGGCATTATTACCATTTGTGCTATGATTGTTGTTATTCTTGTTTTATCGTCATCAACATTCTTGTTATTGGTTTTTTGCTGAAATTATTCTTACTATGTTATTAGGAGCTGCGGCAGGCCGTGTTGCCCGAGATGTGACTGGCCCTAAACCCTAAGCCCCAATCCAAAACCCTAAACTGTGTGTGTGTGGGTGTAAGACTTCGAGCCTAGAGACCCTCAAGACCCTCGAACCCTTGGGTTTTGGGGATGCGTGTTGGGATGTTCCCCCTCATATATACTAACAGTCTCATTCATAGGGATAGAAATCGGGGGAATTTATTAAGGACTGTTAGTCTAAGGGGGAGCATCCCAAGATGTGCGAGTTGAGGTGGTGCAGGGACTGTAGGGTGCGAGGGGTTCAGCGGCTCTAGGGTTGCCAGTGCCTTTCAGTATTGTTTGGTGAGGGTTCTGCCGGGTGTGGGTTTAGGGTTTAGGGTTTAGGGCTTGGGGCTTGGGGCTTGGGGTTTGGGGTTTAGGGTTTGGGGTTTACAGCTTCGGGCCTTTTCGCTGCCAGTCGGCTTTCTACGGGTCTGTCTCCCCGGCAACCTTTGCGACCTCTATAAACCTGCCGCGCAGGGACAACTCCCGCCCCAAAATTGAAAGTAAGCTAGAACCCTGATCCCTCCCCCCTTGGCCCCACTTCCGGCAACCCTAACCCGAAACCCCGCACCCCAAAACCCAAACCCCAAACCCCCAACCCCAAACCCTAAACCCCAAACCCTAAACCCTAAACCCTAAACCCTAAACCCCAAACCCCAAACCCTAAACCCTGAACCCTAAACCCTAAACCCTAAACCCTAACCCCTAAACCCCAAACCCTAAACCCTAAACCCCCGAGCTCACCTACAAATGCGCACTTCGCGGCCTCGCAGCTGCGCCTTTAAGGCCTTCCAGAACCTTCCATGGAGTTAAGGGTGCTATAACCCTCCTAGGGTTTAGGGTTTAGGGTTTAGGGTTTAGGGTTTAGGGTTTAGGGTTTCATTAGGGTTTAGGGTTGAGGTCCTAAGCCTACACTCGGCCTCTGAACTTCAACTCTACACAACCCAAAAACCGCAAAAACCCTAGACCCACGAACCCTGAACCCTAACACCCTAAACCCTCAACTCTAAACCCTTAACCCTAGAACCCTAGAACCCTAAACCCTTAACCCTAAACCCTTAACTTATGCACCTGGCCCCAAGAATGACCTTGGATTAAAGAGGGTGCACTCTTTGGCTTACAGGGGCTTTTTGAGGGAACCTAAACCCCTCCAAAAAGGGGGAATAAGGGCCTACTCTGGGTCCTAAACCCCAAGCCTTAAACCCTAAATCCAAAACTAACTCCCTAATAAACCCTCAACCCTAAACCCTAAATTCTACACCCTAAACCCGCCTTCGAGCTAGAACATGTGGCGCCGGGAGGCTGATCGAAGATCAGGAACTCCCTCGGCGTGTGCTGCACGCCCACCGCCTTGTCGTCGACACCTTCAGCCTCCGTGCATTCAAGTTTGAAAGGGCTCAGGCTTTAGGGTTTAGGGTTTAGGGTTTAGGGTTTGGCGTTAGGCTTTAGGGGTGTAGTAGCGGCTTCGGGATTCTTTGTAAGGTCCTAAACCCAGCAGAACACCCACCCACCCCCCCCCCCCCCCCCCACAACATACTTCAATACAGTTACAACAGCAAACCCAAAACACTGAGCCTAAAGACCCTAAACTATACCCCTAAACCCTAAACCCTTCACCCTAAACCCTAAACCCTACACCCTAAACCCTAAACCCTAAACCCTAAAGACCTTCAAGCCCTAAACTAAACCCTAAACCCAATAAAGCCAAAAGGACCTCCTGAGGGTGAAGCCTTTGCAACCAAGAGCTTGCCATGCAACCCTAAACCCTAAACCCTAAACCCTAAACCCTAAACCCTAAACCCTAAACCCTAAACCCTAAACCCTAAACCCTAAACCCTAAACCCAACCCCTAAACCCTAACACCCAAGCCTCTGAAGCACTTAAACAACCCATGTTGGGAACCCCTTGAAGGCCTTCAGGGACCCGAAGGAATCGAACCCTCTCAAAGGAACCCCCGCCCAAAAAAAGTAATATATATATATATATATATATATATAATGAAAAGATGAATTTTTCTAAACCCGAGAATATCCAAGGAGTTTCGGATAGTTCTTTAGGGTGTGGAGGCTTTAGGGGTTGGAGCCAGAAACCCTAAACCCTACACCCTAAACCCTACACCCTAAACCCTAAACCCTAAACCTTGAACTCCGGAGCCCTAGATCCATCCACCCCCGGCTGCAAGCCTTCCGCTGCCACTCCCTGCGATGTTGCTCCTGCTTCGGGTTTAGGGTTTAGGGTTTAGGGTTTAGGGTTTAGGGTTTAGGGTTTAGGGTTTAGGGTTTAGGGTTTAGGGTTTAGGGTTTAGGGTTTAGGGTTTAGGGCTTAGGGTTTAGGGTTTAGGGCTTTGGGCTTAGGGTTTAGGGCTTTGGGTTTAGGGTTTAGGGTTTCGGGCTTAGGGTTTAGGGTTTCGGGCTTAGGGCTAAGGGTTAACATAGGGTTTAGGATGTGCTGTAAAAGCTGAGGGTCCAAAAGGGTCCACGTGCCTAACTCGGTTGGCCCTTAAAACTCCTCTGAAGCAAACCCCCTAAACCCTAAACCCTGAAACCCTCTTCCCAAACCCAATGAGGGCAAATGTGTGAAATGTCCCAGTGACCTAGCGTAGACAGTAGTACTCGTACTGGGGCCCTACCGTGGTAGCCCGTAACCTATTGAAATAAGTATCCTTTTTGGTGCTAATTACTTTGGGAAGGGAACCATAACCCAAAACGGGCAAAAGGGTAGCACTCAGCTTTCAATATTCCTTAGACTTATCAGACTTATCCCTGAAGCCTAACCGTAAATCCTAAACCCTAAGCTCAAGCTACTGTATAGGAGCCCCTTTGAGGCCCAAGATGTCCCAAGTCTACTGCTCCCCCTCACCCACCCACCCACCCTCGTACCACCAAGTGTGCAGCCTTTTGTAGCCGCAGCCAGGCTGCACGTTGTGCATCTGTTTCTGGACTGCACGGCTGTCGCCGCCGTACACAGGGTAACCCCAGGTCACCAAGGACCCGTCGGCCAAGACGGCAGCAAAGGCATAGCTCGTGGTCTGGATCAGTTCCACTTTTTGCAGCTGTGCTTGGACAGCACTGCTATCGCCACCACTACTCGGATCACCCCAGGTCACCACAGAGCCACCGGCAAGGATGGCTGCAAAAGCTCGGGGTGTAGCTTGGATCTGCTGCACGTTATGCAGCTGCGTCTGCACAGCACGGCTATCACCGCCGCAACTCGCCAGACCCCAAGTAACCACCGATCCGTCGGCTAGGATTGCGGCAAAGGCTGTTATCGTAGCCTGAATCCGCTGCACTTTCTGCAGCCATGCCTGCACAGCACCACTGTCGCCACCCGAATTCGGATCACCCCAGGTCACCACAGAGCCATCGGAGAGGATGGCAGCAAAAGCATAGCTTGTAGCCTGGATATGACGGACGTTCTGCAACTGCGCCTGGACAGCGCTGCTGTCGCCACCCCGCTCCAGATGACCCCAAGTCACGACGGATCCATTGGCGAGGATGGCAGCGAACGCTGAGCTGGTGGCCTGGATCTGCTCCTTAGCTGCTGAGTTCATAAGCCCAAGAACGTGTACACTTTCAGTCCTTAAGGGAATATAGTATCCCCAAAAAGTGTAAAGTGTACTCATTCAGCTACTAAGGCTCTACCTCCTGCAGCTGCGCCTGGACAGCACCACAGTCGCCACCGCAACCCGGATCGCCCCAGGTCACCACGGATCCATTGGCAAGGATGGCCGCAAAGGCCTTCTTGGTGCGCTGGATGTGCCGCACATCGCACAGCTGTGCCTGCACAGCTCCTAGGCTGCCCAGTAACCTAGGGTGAAAAAAAGGGTGCCCTTTTTTGCTTAAAGGGGTTTGTAAGGGAACCTCAACCTACCAAAAAGGGAAGAAGGGTACTACTGGGCATCCTAGGCTCTGCTGTCACCACCCCAAAGCGATTCACCCCAGGTCACCACAGATCCTGTGCCCAGGATGGCGGCGAATGCTCTTTCCGTAGCTTGGATCTCCTGGACATCCTGCAACCTTGGGGACCACATGAACCCCAAAATTGGGGTCATGGACCCTCTAATGTTGGACTGGCTTTAGTGAGAGGGGGCACTATTATGCGATGTTCCGGAAATCTTATCGGGGACCCCCCCATTGATAGGGTGGGCCTCAATAATGCGATGTTTGCCGGCCGGGGTTGCCGGTTAGGGCAAAAAATGCTTGAGTTGGTTGACTTAGAGAGAACTAGTACTAGTACTAGTACTACTAGTACTAGTACTACTAGTACTACTACTAGTACTACTAGTACTACTGGTACTACTACGACGACGACAACCCCAGCCCACACTATTCAGGATCCCCGAAAACCCCAAAATTGTTTGGGGGGGGGGGGGCCCTACGTACTAAAGCGAGTCCAACATTACTACTATGATTCCTATCAAGGCTATAATATGAACCCACAAACCCTTTTAGGGTTTGCCTTGAGGAGCTGTGTCCGGACCGCACAGCTGTCGCTCCCGGCATCCACCTCACCCCAGGTCACAACGGAGCCGCCCCCCAAGATCGCAGCAAATGCTCCGCCCGTAGCCTGGATCTGCTGCACGTTCTGCAGCTGTTTCTGAACCTTCAGGGCCGAATCAACCCTAAAAGGGTTTAGGGTTTAGGGTTTAGGGTTTAGGGTTTAGGGTTTAGGGTTTAGGGTTTAGGGTTTAGGGTTTAGGGTTTAGGGTTGAGGGTTTCGGGCTGTGTCTGAACCTTACCCAAAGGCTCCTATGTAGTTCCTGTTTGGGTTAGTTATAGGGGATTCTAGTATAACTTTCCAGAAAAGGTACTACAGAGGAGCCTTTGGGTAGGGACCAAATGAACCCTAAACGGGTTTGTGGTTCATACACCTTAATAGGAATTATCGTAGTAGAGGGTCTATGACCCCAATTTAGGGTTCATTTGGTCCCCAAGCAACAGCACTGCTGTCTCCGCCGCACCATGAAGGACCCCAAGTCACCACAGATCCATTGGCCACGATAGCAGCAAACGCCTTCCTTAGTTGTCCAGCATCCTCAGGGAACTAAAGGTTGATCTTCGGGATTCTGTAAGGAACGGAATGCCCCGGAAACAAGCCCTTACATGCTAATTACCTACTACTAAGCGTCTGTGTGGCCTGGATCTGCTGAACATTCACCAGCTTCTCGCAGCATGGGTTCTCACCCCAGGAGACGACTGATCCGTCTGCCAGGAGCGCCGTAAAAGAGCCACTGGAGGCAGCCACCCTTGTCTGTCGAACTTGTAGGGTCAATACATCTCCTGCCTGCACGCCTGCCTGGGCAAGGGTGTGCTCCAAGCACAAGACCTCCCCACTTGCAGCTAAGAAAATCCCTGTCCCAGTTTGCAGGACGCGCTGCGCCTGCAGCATGAGTTCTGCAAGAGTCGTCTCATTGCTTGCCAGAATCGATGCGCTTCGCCCGCTCAGAAGGGCCACGTGAACAGGCACCGATGCCATGGGTGCTCATCGGCTACAGCTGCGCGTGAGTACCCTTGCGCACATCTAAGCCGTAAACCGCAAAGTGTTCAAGACCACAAACCCCAAACCCCAAACCCTAAACCCTATAAGCCCTGAACCCTAAGCCCGAAACCCTGTGCACCATCGGCTGCCAAGGATGCTGGCCCGGCGACCTTCCTATTCCTCACCCTCCCCCTGAACCCACTAAACCCTGAACCGCCTCATCGCGCCCTGGCAACCCCACCCGAAAAAACCCGCCCAGGGTTTAGGGTTTAGGGTTTAGGGCTTAGGGTGTAGGGTGTAGGGGGTTTCAGGGGTGCACAAACCCCACCCAAGAGTTAAGGGCTCATGGCTTAGGGTTGACGCACCTCATTCTCCGAAAAGATTGCTACTATTTGCTTAAGAACCCCCCCCCCCCCGGCAAACAGTAGAAGAGGGGGCTTCCTATCCTAACCCGGTGTTGGGTAATGTAGGGGCCTTAAATACTGGGGTTTGGGAGATATTCTAGTAGAAATATAGAAAGGTGCTGTGAGGGAATGCGATTCGTAATTGTTCCGACCCCTACAGCAACTGCCTAGCATTTCTGATTAACATCCAGATCCGAAAAGACAATACCCAGCCCCACCCCCCCACCCCCCCACCCCCGCGAAAAGAACCCTCAACCCTAAACCCTACAACCTAAACCCTAAACCCGAGACCCTAAACCGTAAACCCTAGACCCTAAACCCGAAACCCTAAACCCTAACCCTAGACCCCAAATCCTAAACCCTAGACCCTAAACCCTAAACCCTAGACCCTGAACCCTCAACCCTGGCTTTCGGGGTGAAGGGTTTGGGGTTTCGGGGCTTAGGCTCCACAAGCCTTCGGGGTTCAGGCGTGTCGGGTTCAGTGTTTATCGGTTCAGGGTAAAAAACCTAAACCCTAAACTAGTATGAGGGGCTTCAAGGCTACAACATCACGTGTGGTCCCTGCAGTTTTCAGTCCAAGGTTGAGGGTCCAGGGATTCAAGGGATTCGGATATTTGGATTTTGGGTTCATATAGAGTTCAGGGTTTCGGATATTTGGGTTTAAGGCGTACGGTTTCGGATATTTGGGTTTAGGGTTTAGGGTTTAGGGCTTAGGGTTTGGCCAGCGTCACATTGGGGGTGCGGGGGGGGGGTTGGGGGTCCGTTTTCCGAATCTGTGCCGCATGCAGAATCCGATGATCGAGATTACCAACCCAAACCCCAAACCCCAAACCCCAAACCCCAAACCCTAAACCCTAAACCCCAAACAGGACCCCTGGACAAGAGCTTTGGTTCCAAGGGCCGTTGTAGAAGTTGTAGGCTGTCTAAAGCTGAAGGCTCGGCTTAGGATTTAGCCCAGAAACCATCTTATGAGAAGGGTACCCTTTTGTTGGCTGGTTACTTTGATCAGGGAACCCTAAACCCTAAACCCTAAACCCTACACCCTACACCCTAAACCCATGTGAACCTTCAAGATCGCATCCCCCGCCTGCACGCGCTGGCGCTGGAGACCCAGCACAAAGACCTTCGACCGATAGCGGAGGAGGTGGGTTTAGGGTTTAGGGTTTAGGGTTTAGGGTTTAGGGTTTAGGGTTTAGGGTTTAGGGTTTAGGGTTTAGGGTTTAGCGTTTAGGGTTTAGGGTTTAGGGTTTAGGGTTTAGGGTGTAGGGTTTAGGCTTGTAGTGGTTTAGAATTGTAGGCTTAGAGGCCAGTGGGTTTGGGATGTAGGGTTTAGGGCTCAGGGTTGGGGCTTTGTGTTTAGTATAAGGAGCAAGAACCCTGGACCCTAAACCCGAAACCCCTTAGTACCCGTGTCCAGGAGGAGGTCGCCCCGGTCCATGGATAGTGCTGCTACTCGCTCATGTTTTCGCCAAGAGGGGTTTCGGGCTCGTGTGTAGCTTAGGGTTGAGGAACTAAGGGGGTTGGAATGCTACCCGGTATACTCACACTCCTTAATGGGGAATGTATTACCCGAACATACAACCCCTATGAAGGACTCTTGGTACACGGGGGAACATCCCAACTAAGGGGGTTTAGGGCTTTGGGGCCTTTGGGGGCTTAGGGTACAGAATCCTACACAGCGTCTTGGGTTCAAGGTTAGGGTTGAGACAGCTTCGCAATGTATTGCACGCTTGGAGTTTTGGGTTGAATGAACAATTGGCTTGGGTTAGGGTTTAGGGTCGGCTTCTGGTTTAGTGGCTCTAAACCCTAACCCCTAAACCCTAACCCCCAACCCCTAAACCCTAAACCCAAAACCGTGGGGAGGGGTGTGGGGGGGGGGGGGAGACAGGTGTGCTGAAAGCGCAGCCGAAACCTGCATCATCCTAAGGCCATAGGAGTTGAGGGTTGAGGGTTGGGATGTTCCCCTTCATACCAAGAGTCCTTCATAGGGAATGTCGGTAGGGGATTGCTAGAATCCCGCCTCATGACTGCTAGCCCTAAACCCTAAACCCTTAAGGGGGAACATCCCAAGTTCAGGGTCCAGACCAAGGGCAACCCTAAACAGTAAACCCTAAGCAGTAAACCCTAAACCCTAAACCCTAAACCCTAAACCCTAAACCCACCGAAGATGAAGGGGGTCAAGACCTCCAGCAGCCGCGGCAGCAGCGGCGCGAAAAGGGCGACGTCCTGCGCAACTCCGAAGCTTGCCCTCTTCAAGAGCCAAGGAATTTATGTAGGGCTTAGGGTTTAGGGTTTAGGGTTTCGGGTTTAAGGTTTAGGGTTGAAGCTTACCTCTTCAACAGCCAAGGAATCTGAGGTGCGGGGTTTAGGGTTTAGGGTTTAGGGTGTCGGGTTTAGGGTTTAGGGTGCAGGCCTTAGGGTGCAGGCCAGTGCTTCGCCGAGCATAGCTGTCTGCGGCGTGTCGCACAAAACTCTTCAAGTAGCCCCTATGAAGAGTAGGGTTTAGGGTTTAGGGTTTAGGGCTTAGGGTTTAGGGCTTAGGGCTTAGGGCTTAGGGTTTAGGGTTTAGGGTTTAGGGCTTAGGGTTTAGGGTTTAGGACCCTTGTTGGGATTAGTAGCAAAACATGCCAAAACCCTGCGGTCACTCGTGCTTCTTGCCGGTGGCAACGCCGGCCCTTGCACTTGCGCATGGTCTTGGGAAGGCCTCGGGAAAATCGCCCCCACATGGCGATCGATGTGGGCATTCTTCCACGGCTGCCCGTACTGGCAGGCGTGAAATGTCCCGAAGACGAAATGGGGCCCGCTCGTGAGATCCTGCATCTCAAACAGATCCCACATCCAGGACATGCGTGGATTCTCCAAGACAACAGTCGTACCATGCATCCGGGCCTCCCTTAGGACCTTCGGACCTTCATGGCCCACTTCACCAGGTCATTGCCATGGTCGAGATGACAGCAGCCGCTCCAGACAAATTTCTAGTCCCTATTGAGTTTAAGTACCCTCAAAAATTTAAAATGTTACCTCACTATGACAAAGGAATGAGCTAATATATACTGAATCACAACATCCTTTGACTATACTCCCCTTAGAACCTTAACAAAAAGAATGTGTGAAATATTCTGCTCGGGGTTTATAGAAGCCGAAAGCAACAACAATTCCTAAGGGGGCTAAAGTTAAGGTGCAGGGTGTCTATGCTCCCCTGAGAACCTTAATAACAATGATGTGTTTAAAATCCTCTTGGGTTTTATATGAACAAAAATACAAAATAATTCCCAAGGGGGATATAAGTTTAGGGTTTCCGCATCACAGATCTCCTCTGCAAGAAGACGCCGGAGGTCAGTAAACAGCTGGGCCTTTGTCGGCTTTCGGACTTGGCTTCGGGTTTCTACGCTTTACTACTGTTGCTTAAGAACCCCCTCCCCCACCCCCTGCCAAAAAAACAAAAGAAAAAATAGTATTCCCTATAAGGGTAATAAGGGTGATTGCTCATTTTTTCTTTTTTGGGTGTTCTTAAGCAAGTAGTAGTAGTAGTAGTAGTAGTAGTAGTAGTAGTAGTAGTAGTAGTAGTAGTAGTAGTAGTAGTAGTAGTTGTAGTAGTAGTAGTAGTAGTAGTAGTAGTAGTAGTAGTAGTAGTAGTAGTAGTAGTAGTAGTAGTAGTAGTAGTAGTAGTAGTAGTAGTAGTAGTAGTTTTTTAGTAGCGTAGTCAGCTCAGTGAACTCAGTACTTCAAAGGCCGGAATAGCTTGCCGTGCCCTCATCCGGTTAAGATGTTCGAGCCTATGCATGGGAAGGTCAGGACTGTAGGGTTTGCGGCTTCCAAGCAGCATGGGTCTTCCTCACTGCTAGACACTTATATCCCCAAACCTCCTCCTCTGACTGCTGGACGTTCTCGTTTACTTTGGGTTTAGGGTTCAGGGTTGTAGGGTTGTAGGGTTTAGGGTCTAGTGCCCTAGCTGTCAGTCGGCTGGACCCCTGGACCCTGAACCCTGGCCGTAGTTGGCATCTCGGGCCCAAAGACGGAGAATTCGGTACTAAACTTCAAAGGCAGGCGTCACTGAGCTTCAGGCCTTGAAGCAAAGAATCCTGAGACAAGCATTCCCTTAAATTACGCCAGACACCTGTTACAAGCCCAGCAACCCCTAAAAACGCATTGATGTTTTGGGGGCTAGGGTTTAGGGCTCGGGGAATCCTAAACCCTAAACCCTAAACCCTCCTTCACCCTAAGCAACCGGGGGCGAAGGGCCTGGTACACGCCCACGTCGCCCTCTTTCCTCCGCTTCTTTGGCGGGGTTTCGCTGTCAAGGGCCTGGCGGGAATTGCTTTGGGGGTTTAGGGTTTAGGGTTTAGGGTTTAGGGTTTAGGGTTTACGGTTTAGGGTTTAGGGTTTAGGGCAACCCAGTAGGTGAAGGATTGCAAGCTTGTAAGCCCTAAGCCCCAGCCCCAAAAGCACCGAGCATGGCAGCAGGGTCGTGTGCAGTGTCTCCCTAAACCCTAAACCCTAAACCCTAAACCCTAAACCCTAAACCCTAAACCCCAAACCCCAAACCCTAAACCCTAAACCCCTCCGAAGCCCCAGCTCCTCAACCAAACCCTGAACCCCCATTCTCAAGTTTCTGAACAGCAGCGGTCCCTTTGAAGTGGACTCCTCAAAAGATGTGTCTATCCTATTTGGGGATACCGGGGTGCCTCAATGTTGGGAAACACCCCTTCCGTGAAAAAAACCTACGTAAACCCAACAACCCTAAGCCCCGAATCCCTACACCCCAAACCCTGAACCCTAAACCCCTAAACCCCTAAACCCCTAAACCCCTAAACCCCTAAACCCCTAAACCCCTAAACCCCTAAACCCCTAAACCTCTAGATCCCTGCACCCCGAAACCCTAAACCCCTCGAAACCCTAGACCCCTAAACGGAACCCCGAAATCCCCTAAACCCCGAAACCCTGCACCCCTAAACCCCGAAACCCCGAAACCCTAAACCCCTAAACCCCTAAACCCCTAACCCCAAACCCCTAAACCCCTAACTCCCTAAACCCCTAAACCCCTAAACCCGAAACCCAGAAGATTCCCTCTATCGCAGTACCATTCGCCACCGGAAACCCCCGTGAAGTGTAAGGGGCTCTACCCCAACCTCGAACGTCTCCCCATAAGGGTTTAGGGTTCGTGGTTCGGGTTTAGGGTTTAGGGTTTGGGGTTTGGGGTTTGGGGTTTGGGGTGTAGGGTTTTCAGGGCTAAGGGTTCGAGGTTCGGGTTTCGGGGTTTAATATGGTCCCCTGTCTTCTTCAAAGGGTTCTGACGTATGGGCCGTCGGGATGTCAAGGGTATAAAAGTGGTCCCCTTTTTTCAGGGCCCATACTAAGGGACCATGTAACTACCCTAACCATGAGAAGGGGAACGAGAAGCCATAAGGTACGGGGGATGTTCTCTTCTTAGGTACAGCTTTGCTCTAAACCCTGAACCCAGAACCCTGAACCCTAAACCCTGCCCTAAACCCTAAACCCTAAACCCTAAACCCTGAACCCTGAACCCTAAACGCGCAAACCCCTAGGCAAGAAACCTCTGCGCTGGGGTGCCTCGCCGCGTTCCCAGCTGGCTGCCAGCACCTCGCAAGGGAGCGGAGAGCCCAGCACCCTTCAATTCAAGGGCTTAGGGTTTAGGGTTTAATTAGGGTTTAGGGCTTAGGGTTTAGGGTGTAGGGTTTGAAGCAAATCTGCAAGTGTATGGGAACCTAAGCCCTACAAAAAAGGAATAAGGACCTACTCTGGGTCTTAGGGCGCCTTCCGAAGTTGGGGTACCCATTCTTTTGGGGCATTAGTACCCTTGTTTAGGGAACTGCACCAATACTTAGGCGTAGCTATGCGTAGCTGCGTGGCGGCCACCCCCGACGACGTGTCTATATGAGGGCGTAGCTACTTGAAGGTTCATGGTACTTATTAACCAAGTCTGTAACTGTACTTTTAACTGTACTTATAAGCCCCTTAAGTGCCCTAATATAGTTATGATTTGGGTTATCAGTACAGTTACAATTGGTTACTAACTACCATGAACCTCCAAGTACTGTCCTTCGAAAGATGCGGCACCGAGGAACTGAACGGTGGTAGGCGCCTTAAGGCAGGTACTTGAAGGTTCATGGTACTTAGTAACCAAGTATAACTGTACTTATAACCCGAATTATAACTATATATTAGGGCACTTCAGGGGGGCTTACAAGTACAGTTACAAGTACAGTTACAAGTACAGTTATAAGTACAGTTATAAGTACAGTTATAAGTACAGTTATAAGTACAGTTACAAGTACAGTTCTAATTGGTTACTAAGTACCATGAACCTTCAAGTCGGCCATGGTTCAGGAGCCCGAAGTTCTTTCAGACTCGACCAAAGTCAAGCTTTCTTGCTTGCGTAAGACGCATCTTATGACAGAGCCATATACACGAATAGGTGTATATATATATGCATACACATGTTCATATGCATATATATATAGATATATGTATACACACATGTATATGTATATGTAGGTGCCCTAAATCTGTGGCTATATGCTGTCTGCGCGCCCAAACTCTACAAACTAGTAGGGTTGGATTTGGGATTCAGTGTTGCGGCTTTCTGGGATGAGGGACACCCCCTTGACTTACACACTCTACCACACAAAAAAAAAAAACCCTCCAAGTCATGCCCAAGCCCTAGTATGCCTAAACCCCAAACGATAAACCCCTGAGCCCAAAACCCTAAATCCTGAACCCGAAACCCGAAACCCTAAGCCCTAAACCTGGAGGCCTCCAAGCCGGGGAGCTGCTCCGGGGCGGCAAGGATGCCCAGGAGCTCGGTCAGGGAGGCCTTGGGAGGGAGGTGCTTCGGTTTTTTTTTTGGTGGGGGGCCTTAGGGTTTCAAGGGGCTTGGCTAAATCCTAAACCCTAAACCCTGAACCCCAAAACCATCAACCCCCTATGAAACCCTCTAAGGACTTAAGACCCTATAACCCTGGGCCCGGATTGCCGCGCCCCAGAACGTTGGAGTTAGGATCCAGGATTTCCCTAAGGCTCCATGTATCTAAAGAGGGAATACTTGGGCCTTAAAGTACCTCCTATTCAGCGACTGGTGGGCCCAAGTGTATAATCATGAGATACATGGACCCTTAGGGTTTAAGATTTAGGGTTTAGGGTTTAGGGATTAGGGTTTGGGATTTAGCATTCATGACGGAGGGCTAAAGTCCCGGAGGGTTCCGGGTCAGGCCGTCACACGGTCTCCGCCAAGTCAAGGGGTGTCCGGCCCCAGACCCCTAAACTCCCTAAACTCCCGAACCCCTAAGGTTCAGGGTTTAGGGTTTAGGGTTTAGGGTTTAGGGTTTACCCCTACCCCTACACTCCCTAAACTCCCTCAGCTTGGCCTCCAAGTCTGCGTGCGCAGCGCCAGCCGCCAGGATGCCTTGCCGCGGACTTACCGAGGCCGCGGGTTGGCGTGGGGGGTTTAGGATTTAGGGTTTAGGGGGTGAGGGTTTAGGGTTTAGGGTTTAGGGTTTAGGGTTTAGGGTTTAGGGTTTAGGGTTTAGGGTTTAGGGTTTAGGGTTTAGGGTTTAGGGTTTAGGGCAACCCTGATCCATCAAAAGACACCCCGATGTAGAAGAGCTCCCCATGTATCGGGTCCTGAAGGGAGCGTTTCGTGTTTATTTGGGCTCAGGGGGTTAGGTTTTAGGGTTTAGGGTTTAGGGTTTGGGGTTTAGGGTTTAGGGTTTAGGGGGACTCTGATCCCCTACTCCAAGAGTTGCAAAAAGGGCACTCAAGTTTCTACCTCCCTCCCTCAACACCCTCACTTGGGGTTTAGGGTTTAGGGTTTAGGGTTTAGGGTTTAGGGTATAACTGGCTGTACATTCTGAGGTGCACCACAAGAGGTATACCCCGATTTGGGGAAATACCTCTAAACCCTAAGAACGGCTAATGCAGTGCCACAGAGCACCCAAAACAAATGCGGGAGAGGTGCAGAGGCGCAGGGGTTTAGGGTTTAAAGGTGAGCTGATGCTGGACCAAACGCTCTGAACAGATCTAAGTGGTAATCGGACATGTGCCCTACAAACCCAAAGCCGTGCCTCGGCTAGCCCTAAACCCTAAACCCTAAACCCTAAACCCTAAACCCCAGACATTAAACCCTAGAAAGTACGCTTCGAGGCGAGAGGAACGCGGATGCCCGCGCCTGCCATGGAGGGCAAAGCATCCAGGGCCGACCGGAAAGCCTCTGAAACAGGCATGCAGTTTAGGGATTGGGGTTTAGGGTTTAGGGATTGGAGTTTGGGGCATGCAAAGAGGGTTCATTGGGTTTAGGGTGTAGGGATTGGGGTTTGGGGCATGCAAGGGGGGTAGTTTGGGGTTTGGAGTTTAGGGATTGGTGTTTGGGGTTTAGGGTTTAGGGGTTGTGCGCGAAAAAGTAACACAGGCAGATACACGGAAGACAGCTGCAGAGTCAAGATCCCCAATCTTCAACACCTCTTTCCGAACACCCTGAGATGTCTGAGACCTCCACGCGGGTTTAGGGCTTATAGGGTTCAGGGTTTAGGGTTTAGTGAACATAGCCAGCAAGCGAAACTCAGGGGCGCTAGCCGCTAGGGCAGGGACCGCACCACGACGTTGGTAGTTGAAGGTCATACTCTACCACTATTTCTTTAAGAACCGCCCGCAAAAATGAAAGATACGAATCCCCGCATTGCACTTATAAGGAATAATCTTTATATGTATATATATATATATATATATTGTTTTCATGATTTTTTTTTTTGGGGGGGGGGTCTCAAGCAGTACCTGCTCTAGAGGCACACGAAGCGCCAGCCAACACGAGCAGCGCCGCAAGACGAAAACCAACACCTGAACCCCATCGACCCGAAACGGGCTTCGGGTTTAAGCTTTTTGGTCCCTAAACCCGAAACCCTAAACCCGAAACCCTAAACCCGAAACCCGAAACCCTAAACCCTAAACCCTAAACCGCGCCCTGCCTTCTTCGCTGCCGCCCCGGCAAGGCTCCGGCGGAGAAGGGACGCGGCTGACGCGACGGGCGCGTAGTCGCCAGGATGCCTGGACCCAAGGGGATTTAAGGTTTAGGGTTTAGATCATAACAAAGATGCTGTTGATATTCCTTTCGGTTTTCTATAAACTAGGAGCATGATGAGAAATGGAGCAAAGTAAAGGCTTTTGGGTTGAGGGACTTGACGGCTTAGTCTTTAGAGGACTTGGGGTTAAGGGGTTTAGTGTTCAGAGGGCTTCTATTATGGAAGGTTTAGGGTTTAGGGTAGAGGGTTTAGGGTTTATGGGGCTAACTCTTAGAGGGCTTTCGAAGGCTTCGGGTTTGTGGATTCAGGCCCCAGGTCTCCACCCGCGCAACTTGAGATGCCGGAATGGTTACAAGAGAGTCTAACCCCTAGGCCCTAAGCCCTAAACCCCAAACCCTAAACTCCAAACCCTAAACCCTAAACCTTAAACCCTAAACCCTAAACCCTAGACCCTAAACCCTGAACCCTTCGTAAAGCCTTAGAAGTTCTACATCTTAGGGACCCGTTATGTATAGCAAGCGCTACTATGAGCCCTATCGGCTCTCTGCTCCTGAGCCCTGACAAGTAACTTGGCTGCACTTAGGTAGCTAAAATTAAATGTTTAGCTGCCTTACTCAGAAACCCAATAAACCCAAAAAGGCTAAGGACCTGAATTAAGGCAAAGCACCACAAAGGTAAGATAGGCAGCATGCAACCGTTCGAGAATCGAACGCGAAGCCAAAGCAAACGAGAAACACTCAGTCCTATGCCCAGAAGCCCTAAGCCCAAAACCCAAACTCTAAACTCTAAACCCCAAACCCTAAATCCCTAAACCCAAACCCAAAATCCTAACCCAGAAGCCGAAACCCCTCACCCTGAACCACCTTGTTTTCCCTGAGCCGCTCAGCCCAAAACCCCCCAGCCTCTAAGCCCCCTGAACCCTACATAAAGCCTCAACCCTAAACCCTAATAACCCTAAACCCTAATAACCCCAATAACCCTAAACCCTAGTAACCCCAATAACCCTAATAACCCTAATAACCCTAATAACCCTAATAACCCTAATAACCCTAATAACCCTATTCACCCTAATCACCCTAGTCACCCTAAAAACCCTAATGACCCTAATAACCCTAATAACCCTAACCCTAAACCCTAAACCCCAAACCCGAAACCCTAAACCCTAGACCCTAAGCCTCAAACCCCCCACACACTTTCGTTACCTGCGGTCGAGGAGCTCCGAGGCACCCTTCGCATATCGGCTGGCAGCCTCCTAGGGCTTGGCTTAGGGCTTAGGGCTTAGGGCTTATAATAGGGCTTCGGGCTAAGGGCTACGGGCTTAGGGCTTAGGCTTAGGCTTTAGGGTTTAGGTTTAGGGATAAGGGGAAAGGGTTTGTCCGCCGTTTAGGGTCCGCCGATCCTGGCGGCGTGTTGGATGGGAAAAGGAGGTCAAAACCTCCCTCTTTCCCTCCTTACCGGCGTGGGGGGGGGGGTTGGGTGGTTTTTCCCAAAGGGCCCCCTATGTCCTGTGCGAAACCGCCCATGGTCCGTGAGTTGAGGCCGTGTGGGTGGCCTGGCCCTCCATGGAAAGCTGCCCGACGACCCCCCCCACCCCCCCCTGCCCCCCCCATCCCCCTCCTACCCCCCCCCCCCCTACCCCCCCCCCCCACACCAACTTTGGCATCCTTTGACCTAACGAACGCGTTTAAACCTTTCAACTATGCTCCAGCGGGGTCGGCGGCTTGAGCCGGAGGCTCTTAAATCCGGGCCGTTAGGCGCCCTAGCTTTAGCTATAGCGGGGGGGGGGTTAAGCCGCTGACCCGGTTGGCTCCCCAACATCCGGCTCCAAATGCGGCTCCCGAAGGGCATCATGTTTCAGGTACATTTTTTATCGCGAAAAACGCGCTATTTCCCACCGAATTTGGGCTCCAGGACGCATTTTTTGGGTGCCCCATGGGGGGTCCCAAAAACGACCCCGGAGAGCATCATCGACTCTCTTTTTCAACTTTGGCCAAACACGCGTTGTTGATGTTTTTTGGGTGGCATTGGCCACCCCAAAGGACCCCACAAGAGCGCGCATCATGAGCATCAGCGGGTTGGGTTTTGGGTTTCGGATGCGGCTGAGAGCTTGGAAAACACAGAAATCGCTGTAAATACCGTGGTTTTCGTGCTGTTACGGACATTTCCGTTTTGAGGCCGGCATATGCCCCTATAAGCCATGCATGCCTGGAGGCCGGAGCCGCTGATGCTCATGATGCGCGGCCGGGCGGGGGGCCAGGGCGCGCATCATCGAGGCTTCGTTTCTCTTTAAAAAACCGGGGGGCGAGCATCAGCAGCATCAGTGGCTCCGGAAAGGGTTTCGGGCGGCAGGATTTCGAAGGATGCTGGCATAACTCCATAACATGGCACTCGACATGCGCGCGCACGCGCGCGCGCGCGCGGCGCGGAAAACGCACCAGTTCCCGCGCGCGCGCGCGCGCGCGCGCGCGCGCCATGGCTTCCCTGGCCCCATGGCCCATGGACCCATGGCTCCTGGCCCCGTAGCTCTAGCTCTTTCAGCTGACTTTAAAGGGCTGCCATGGACCCATGGCTCCTGGCCCCATGGTCTGGCCCCAGGCACCTGGAAGTTCTTGGCTGGCTTCAAAGGGCTCAGTGCACGCCGCTCCCTCCCCGCTCCGCCCTGCCCCCATGGCCCCGATCTTGTATGGCCCCACCCCCCTCGACCCCCCTCCTGGCCCCATGGATGACGCCCGCCCCTGCCCCTCGACCCCCATGGCCCCCATGGACCCATGGCTCCCCTGGCCCCATGGCCCATGGAGTCGTGGCTCCTGGCCCATGGTCCCGTAGCTCTTGGCCTCAGGGTCCATGCTCCCATGACCCCATGCCCCTGCACCCTGGTCCCATAGCTCTTTCAGCTGACTTTAAAGGGCGCCATACATGCCCGCCCGCGCCGTTGTTTGTTGTTGGGGGCAGGGTGCGCATCATCGAGGCTTCGTTTCTCTTTGGGGACCCGGGGGGCGAGCATCAGCAGCATCAGCGGCTCCGGAAAGGGTTTCGGGCGGCAGGATTTCGAAGGATGCTGGCATAACTCCATAACATGGCACTCGACATGCGCGCACACGCGCGCGCGCCCGCGCGCCCGCGCGTCTAATGTTCAACTATTGGCTGAGTAAGGTGCTGACGATCATGCACATGAACACCTCCACGGTGTTTGCGAACGTGAAAACTGTACATGCACACTTCCACAGTGTGGCCATGCACCTCCACGGCGTTTCTGAACATGAACACCTCCACGGTGTTTGCGAACGTGAAAACTGTACATGCACACTTCCACAGTGTGGCCATGCACCTCCACGGTGTTTGCGTTGTCGTTGTTGTTGTTGTTGTTGTTGTTGTTGTTGTTGTTGTTGTTGTTGTTGTTGTTGTTGTTGTTGTTGTTGTTGTTGTTGTTGTTGTTGTTGTTGTGTGGTGTTGTTGTGTGTTGTTGTTGTTGTTGTTGTTGTTGTTGTTGTTGTTGTTGTTGTTGTTGTTGTTGTTGTTGTTGTTGTTGTTGTTGTTGTTGTTGTTGTTGTTGTTGTTGTTGTTGTTCTGTTGTTGTTGGCTGAGTAAGGTGCTGACGATCATGCAAGCTGTACATGCACACTTCCACAGTGTGGCCATGCACCTCCACGGTGTTTTGAACATGAACACCTCCACGGTGTTTGCGAACGTGAAAACTGTACATGCACACTTCCACAGTGTGGCCATGCACCTCCACGGTGTTTCGTTGTCGTTGTTGTTGTTGTTGTTGTTGTTGTTGTGTTGTTGTTGTTGTTGTTGTTGTTGTTGTTGTTGTTGTTGTTGTTGTTGTTGTTGTTTGTTGTTGTTGTTGTTGTTGTTGTTGTTAAGCACTACCAGCTCAAGCCGCCCGCGCATGGTAGCTGTCGAACCGGCCAAGGCCCCGAACTTCATCTCTTTAACAGTTTTCGGGGCCCTCTAACATCTCAAGGCTTTCTAGCTCTTGCCAGCTGATGGTCACTTTGAGGCTTTAGCCTCAAGCATTCTGAGATTCTGCCGCAGACAGCATATCCACGAGCTGGCCCGGTCCCAATTCCGGGGGGAGAACTTAGATCGTCTTAGACTGCATCTTTCACTCCTAAGTGTGAGGGTTCTCGTCTTTCCGCAGGACGAGGGGAGTCTGATCGTGCTTCGGCACTTCAGTCGAAACAAGCGGATGGCAGAGGGTTTAATTCGGAAACACTCCTATCGTCGGGCCTGTCACCGAGCCTTAAGGGACGGTTGCGCAGTACCATATCGAAGGACAAATTTGCCTCTAAGCCAGGCACAGGCAAGCGCAGGCACGGCTGCACCTAGTGCAAGCCAAGAGACTAAGGAAAACATGCATGCTCAATTTGCACCGCAGCTTCCTCTTAGGCAACCGCGTAGGCGTCACCCTAGAGGCGGTCGCGAAGCCAAACCACTGCGGGTTTTCTCGTGGAATGCAGGTGGATTAAGCCAGCAATTGTGGGCAGAGTTCAAGGAGTGGCTGCAATATCAGCAGGACCTCGATGTTATCTTTATCCAGGAAACCCACTGGACTACATCCTCCCAGTTTAAAGTGCACGGCTGGACAGCTGTCTCAGGCGGGCTGCCGGATGAAGAGCTCGTGAGGTCTCCTCCCGCTCAAACATCCCAGCTACCCGAACAGCCAAAGCACAGGCGCTCTGCAGGTGTTCTCACTCTACTATCGCCTAGCATAGACTCAGCAACACTACGCTGGCAGGATCTACACCCAGGCCGTGCTCACGAGGTTCACTGCGAAATCCGAGGCCATCCAGTGCTCCTGCTCAACTGCTACCAGTACACCAAGCAACGAGGCATGACGGAGCAGGACCACTATGCCACCCAAAGCAAAGTTCTCTCCTCCCTAAGCAAGTCCCTTACCAACTTGTCACAGCGTACTGTTCCGGTACTGGCGGGCGACTTCAACTCTTCCCTAAAACCAAATCCCCCCTTTGTAGGGGGAGTGGTGCCAGCAGGATCTTCTAAGCACAAGCCGGTTCAAAAGCAGTTCCAGAAGTTTCTTCAGCGAAACTCCCTAGTTGCGCTTAACACATGGCAGGGGCGCAAGGCAAACACTTTCATCTCGCCACAGGGCAGCTCTCAGATAGATTTCATCTTGACCTCCAAATTCTACGCTGCTCAGCTGGCCCGCAAAGTGTGTGTCCTCAAAGACTTCAAGCTGGGAGCATGGCGTAAAGGTGGCAAACACATGCCACTCAGGACGGCAGTACCCCTCAAGAAGGTCTGGAGACACCCGTTCTCGACCAAAACTCAACCGGCAGTCCCTTCCAAACAAAAGTCCCTACTGGCTCACCATGTTAGACAAAACACTCCTCTGGCCCAAACCCTGCGGGAGCAAGTAGCAAAGGACGTCGACAAACTCCGAGCGCAGAAGAATGGCGAGCCTCTTCACCCTGATGAGGTCAACGAGCTTCTTCTCGAACATGCCAAGACTTTCCAGCCGAGGGACCCAGAAGCAGGCAGCTCGGACGCAGCTCCGACAGCACAACCTCTGTGGCGGCTTCATAACCATCGGCAGACCGCACTGCGAAACCTAAAACGTGAGGACGACGTCATAAATAAGATGGCTCGCACCGAGCACCTCAAACAGGCTCAGCGCTCGCTGGACGAGGCAGCCAAGGCACATGCCATCCAGATAAAGAATCAGGCCCGAGAAAGAACTCATCGAACTTTGAAAGAGATTTCTGAGAAGGTCAAACGAGATCCACATGCGGCATATCGCTCCTTAAAGCATGTAGCTCCTTGGTCTCCTGCACCAAGAGTCTGCCTCAGATCGCCATGCGGCCGCATCCTAACTGAGCCTGAGGGACTGGCAGAGTTAAAGAGACATAGTCTTTCCATCTTCTCCTCGCATCCCCCCCTAGCTAGTGGCGTAGGCCAAGCCTTGCCCAAGCTGGACAAAAGTAGTCTGTCCAAAGGCATAGCCTCTATAAAGCCGGAAAAGGCAGTACCGCAAGGATCTGCCCCCGCATCCATGTACCGCCTTTGTGCTTCCACTGTGGCCAATAACTACTGCGACTATCTCGAAGCGGTGCCTCCGCCTCCCGCTCCGACCCATCAGGCGTGCGAGGTCACCTCCTGCCAAGGGAAGCGCGAGCCTCAGCATAACACAGCACCAATGAATCCAGCCGAGCCACCCTCGCTGCCCATAACAGCCAAGTCAGCAGACCTTAGCTTCATACCCAAGCCCTCTAAACCAGCCTCTAAGCC